CACCTGCCAATTTGGCCCCTGCTCCCCCTCCACCAGCCCTACAACAGATCCATATTCAGCAGCCCACCGTGTCTGTAGCTTCAGGCACATCAATCACCACAGTGCAACACGCCATCCTGCAGCACCATGCTGCCACTGCTGCAGCCATGGGCATCCACCCAGCACATCCTCACCACCCACATCCTGCACATGCCCAGTTGGCCCAAGTACACCATATTCCCCAGCACCACCTTACCCCCATCTCCCTGTCTCACTTGGGTCCCTCCCTTGGTCATTCTCTTGGACATTCATTGGGACATGCTGGGCTGATTCCTGCCCACCCGACAGCCTTCCTCTCTGGTCAGCCTATACATATTATTCCAGCCTCTGCACTTCACCACACCCCCTTAACTTTCCACCATGTCCCACATACAGCCCTCTACCCTACACTTTTCACACCTCGGCCTTCACAGGCTGCTGCTGCAGCTGCAGCAGCTCTCCAGCTTCACCCTTTCCTACACCCAATCTTCTCAGGGCAGGACCTCCAGCACCCACCTAACCATGGCTCTTGAGTATTGATGCAAGTGAAGGCATTTATTCACTGGAGAAAAGACTGAACCAGAACTTGCTTGGTTTAGCATTTTAGATGGAATCTTTGCAGCAACATGCAGGCAGTGAGAGTGGAAGCTTATCAACAAACCACCAATTTATTGGCAGTGCAGCGCAGCAGGTTGTAGCCACAAAGTGGTGCTGCCTGTGTTGTGTTCAGTTTGGACACTAACATATTCTTGTGGTTCATGTGAGATTATTTTCCATGATTTGTCCCAAGTCAGGGTGCAGAATTAAAGAGACTTCCTCAGAACATCAGTTGATGTTCCATGATGGGGTATATCAACATGGAACCCTTTTTTATGAATGACAAGTCATTAACACCAAGTTTGTTTGTTTGTTTGTTGTTTTCCACATGAAAATATTATACTCAGTTTTTGCTCATTTTGGCAGCCAAACAGATGTAACGGCTGAAACTGAAGGCAGAATGATTTAATTAGCATAGGGAGAAGTGCTACTGTTGTAGAAATGAACTGTTTTGACTCTGTAACCTTCAGAGACGGACGATTTCATAAATAATGATACTCTATCTTTTCATATGACTACTTGCCCTCTATTGGATTCTTGGTCTCAAAATAATTTGTAATGCAGTTCTCTGTACATATTATCAGTGTGTAATGTGAAGAATCCCACCAAGGGATGATCATATAAAATTACAGCAAATGTGTTTGGTCGGTTATTGTCACCAAAAGCCCTCTGTAAGTGAGGGGAAATATGACATTGGGGTTTTAACATCCCTACTGCTCTGAGGCAAAGCTCCCTGTGGTGAGGGTACACCTAAATGAATTGCACTGAAATCTGTACATCAAGATGATGCTTTTGCATCATGTAACAAAAAGATTGTAGAATACTGCAATAATTGTATTTTTGTTTTTAAATTATTTTCCAAAATGCTCTTCAGAAGAAGGGTTGTTTTGCTTTTGTGTAATTTTGTAAATAAAACTGCTGTAGATTAACCTATTAACATTCTAGAAGTTTGAGACTGCTATTGGGAAAAAAAAACTGACACGATGAATGGACGTATGTATTTTATCAAGGTTTGTAAATTACTCTGGTTTAAAAAAGGGCTGAAAGGCAAAAGCTAGTGATCTGTCGAACAGTAGCAACTCTGTATTTTTTAAAACTTACTCTGTTTCAGCAAATAAAATCTTGAGTTTAGGTGTTTTTTTGTTTTTGTTTTTTTTCCTTAATATGTTTCCGGGTTACTGAAATTACACACAATCCTAGGAATAGTGAGGTCCTGTCACGTTTTCATAAATCTAACCAGGGTCCATCAAGAAGTCCCTGCAGAGGTAAGTGTTGAACATGAAGCACTAGGTGGTGCCCTAGTTGCTTTGAATAGACGTGAAAATCCACAACATGCTTATCCTAATACATGCTTACAGTAAAGGGGACCTCTCATCTTATTCTGTTTTAAATGAAGCAGATTTGTTAGAAATATACACCAAGGATATTAGATATCATATTTTAATCTATTAAGAGAAATCACTCACAGTGAGACTAGAACCAAGCAAAAATCCAAAAGTACGTATGTAACAATTACAAAATGTTTCAATTGTTTTTTCCCTCAACAGATTTTTGTCATTCTCTTTATTTCTGGTGTATCATCTGAACTACACATATGCAAAGTTACCGGTTTATTGGGTATTATTAGTTTATTTTATACAGAGATGTTTGTTATTTAGGCTACATCAATATAAATGGGTAGACAAAAGCACAGACACCTCTCTGTATAATGCCATACAGTTTGACAGCTTCCAAAATGATTAGCTAAATAAACACCTCTCTAAAACAGTTCAAACAACTCTCACAAAAGGAGGATTTACTGTGGTATTAGACTGCAATAGTCTTAGCTAGATGTACCTAATAAACTGGCAACATAACATATACAACATTCTCCAGGGAATATCGGTAAGTTGAAATGTAAAACATGGAGCCAAAAGCTCTGGACTGAACCCAGTTTGACAAGGCAGAATGACACTACAAGCTATGGGAGAAAAAGCAAACTGAGTATAAAGATCAGTTTGAAGTATTTTTCACAGGGGTTTGGGTCACGAGGAATTTACAGTTTGAGTGGTTTTGATGAAGTCAACTGGGGGTGTGTGGCAGTGATCTAAGGGAATCAGCAGACCTTGTATCAAAGTTCAGTGTCCTCTCTGACCTTCATGAGGAATAAAATACTGTCTGTAATTAAGGTAGTTTGCAACCTTATGATTTTGCATGTGCCCAAAATAATTAAAACAAAGGATAATGGCACAATTTATAAATTCTGATGTTAAAAATACATCTCTGCCATGTTTCATATTATGAGGGAAGATGTGCTGCAGAAATTGTCCATGATGGTGTCAGCCCAGGTATCGGATTACCAGGAACATGAAAATGCAGGTCAGCAGCATCCCTCCAATCATGATGAACTTATCTTGGGTGGCTCGCCTTTCTATCAGTCTCATCACTGTGTTAGACAGCCCCAGCATGTTGGCTACATCCAGCATTTTCTTATGGGTCCCCTGTGCAGAGTCCAAACAGCAATGATCACGTTAGATTGGGCTACAACAGACTTAAAAACACATTTTGAGAAATAGAGGCTTTACATGACATTTTAATTATCACCAAAAAAATCCCTCTGAGTTTGAGAGACGCTGATTGCGACACCCTCCTTGACACGCCACTCGGTCAGAAGTTTCTCACGGCTAGACAACTGGGCCGTGAGTGCTGACACAGACGCACCCTGATAAGATGAGGCCTGAAGCAAAACCAGGAAGACCATCTCCTCCCTGGAAACAAGGACTCATCCTCTAGCCAAACATATGCAGACTAACAATAAGACTACTGTGATCAGTCTGGGTCTATACTGTTTACTTTCTTTGGAAAACACATTTAAAAAGTAAGACTCCTCTGCTCTTCTACAGAGGGCTTTTCTTTAAACTTTCTGTGTAAAGTCCTGTGTGCACACCTTCAGTGTAGATCTTTGATCTCTGATACCATTCAGGATGCTGCTTCCACTACCCAGGAGGTCATCCATGCCTCTGTGTGCATTGTGCAAACTGGAGTTAAACTGTAGGCTCTCATCTATGGGGATGGAGGTATCTGCGTCCTATTGAACAAGAAATAATGTCATCTAATTCCACATTATTCATCTTGAGACAGAGACATTTATATGTTACTCTTCAATATGGGCCTGAGGATGCTAGCACGTGTTAAGGTGCATTTGACCTACGTTGGTCGTGAAGGTACGATTCAGGAGTTCCTCCCTCTCTCTCTCCTGGGTCTCTCTGATATAGTGCCGCTGCTGGAAATTTTGTAGGGCGGTCCGGAGATGCTGAACATCATATTTTAGTTGGTCCACTCGCCTGAGGGAACACAAAGAATATTAATAAATAAATAAAATAAAAGTGTTGATTCTACTTTGTTATGAAGTGGACAAAATCTCTCTCTAATGCTACACAAAGCATTATTTTTCTTTATCTTACATAGCATTTAATTCATTTCCCTCATAAAAGCATGAAAAAGCTTTTTAAAAAAGTCATACAGTTTGAAAAAGGTCAAATTTTTTGCCTTCTGTAGACTATAACGCTTTCATACGTATATCATATCAGGAGATGTTAATGCCTTAAGACTAAAAAAAGGAGTTTCAGCAGTGGTTTGTTCTGCAGAGGCTGTTTAATTATCAAAGACACAGCAAACAATGGCTCTACAGCTTAGCTACAATAGCTAAGTAGCTAATTGTCTCATAAAAATTCAAGTCAGATTCTTCAGTTGGTTAATTCATCCACTAATTTTTCTAACATTTATCTGGATCTAGGGTATATTAGTTTTTTTTTCCACTTACTAAGAATTATTGTTGTATAGTGCTGGGAAGGACTGGCAAAAAGATGATATAAATTCTTGTACCTTATAAGTAACTGTAGGCCTTATTGTCCCAACTGGATTTCTTTTATTTTTTGACCATGAAAGAGTATTAGGCTTTTCCTGTGTGGTATCAAAATAATCTTTAAAGGTATCAAAGTTGGTGAGCCCTGCAGAAACCCCGATAAACATAGGGTATATTTTATGGCATTGTTGACGTTACCTCAACTTTTAACTTTAACTATTCATGATTGTTTTGGTTGATGACAACATTGCTTTTCCCTCACATGTCATGCAGTTGGAATGAAGAGCCCCTCACAGTCTGCCCTTCTCCTGAGCTCCACTCTGGCCCCACTGGAGCTCCACTAAGATCAGAGGATTGCTCTGGGATGAGGTGTACTGTGTCCCCTAAGGCCTGTT